TCCATACTGTACTGGACTGGACTGACTGTACTGTGAGCTGGATAAATTACTAACTGAGATTATAATCAGACTCCACTGACCGAGCAGTCTGAGACTTTCCAGGCTGGACTAGACTGACTGTACTGTGAGCTGGATTAGTTACTGAGATTATAATCAGACTCCACTGACCGAGCAGTCTGAGACTCTCCAGGCTGGACTGGATTGACTGTACTGTGACTGATAAGTGATGAGTTATTGATCAGTGATTGACAAGCACCCTCCCCTCCTCCAGAAACCAAGCCTACACTCACTGGGAGGACGTACACTGCGCCACTTTCATCTTCAGCGCGTGGCACTCCTGTTGCCATGACGATGGGTTGGAGGCCACACACATGCCGTACTCCTCCATCTCTCTGCGGCAGTACCGCGCGGTGATCTCCATGGCAGCCTGCCTGCGAGTGAAACATGAACAGCACAGTGTGTACAGTACAGGCCTGCTATACTGCTATAAACCAGTGTGCACATCAGCATAGCACGGTCTCTATAGTGTGTTCTAGGTTATTACAGTATACTACAGTTTTCCATAGTATATTATTTATAGTATATTTATTACACAATGCTGCCGTTACTCTGTAATGTGTTGTTTTGTGGTTTAAATCTGTGCTAAACATATAACATTATATTTTAGTGTGCCACTCTACCTGAGCATCGCTGTGAGGGTGAGAAACACTGTTCCTGAAATTAGCAGCCCACTGATAGATAGCATAGCATTCTGGTACACAATATTGTAATTGCAATTTAATAATAATTAATTGCTTACACTTATATAGCTTTTCTGGACTCTCAGAGCATTTAACAAGTAATGGGGATCCCCTCCACCACCACCAATGTGCAGCCCCCACCTGGATGATGTGACAGCAGCCATAGTGCACCAGTACACTCCCCACACACCAGCTCTCAGTGGGGAGGAGAGCAGAGTATTGAAGCCAATTCATAGATGGGGATTATTAGGAGGCCATGATTGGTAAGGGCCAATGGGAGATTTGGCCAGAACACCAGGGTTACACCCCTACTATTTTCGAGAAACGCCCTGGGATTTTTAATGACCACAGAGAGTCAGGACCTCGCTTTTACGTCTCATCCGAAGGACCTCGCCTTTTTACAGTATAGTGTCCCCGTCACTGTACTGGGGCATTAGGACCCACGTGGACCGCAGAGTGAGCGCCCCCTGCTGGCCCCACTAATACCTCTTACAGCAGCAGGTTTAGTTTTTCCCAGGAGGTCTCCTATCCAGGTACTGACCAGGCTCACACCTGCTGAGCTTCAGTGGGCTGCCAGTTGTGAGTTGCAGAGTGATATGGCTGCTGGCTAATACGTATTCCTCTTATTATTAGCAGCAGTAGTCGTAGTGTTGTGTAATTATACATCACGGCTCCTAAGGTACGATAAACCACTACACAACATCTATGTATACTTACATTTCTGAGCCGATTTATTGGTGATTGGGTATCTTGTCACATTACACACGTGAAGGTTAAACTGCCGCTCCGTCTCGATATAAACCCCGCCCTTCGCCAGCCCCGATTGGTCGAAAAGCAAAGACTAAACCAGGAAACAAAGGCTCTTGCTCAAATTTTACTGGTTGCTCAGGATGTCAATCTTAGCCTGTAAAGGTTACATTTCCTAGGTCAATTCGTCTCTTAAAGGCACCAACGGTTAATTCCTGCATCTTTCATTTTCCCACAAACAGTTTCTTCGTTTCTTATGGCTTTTGTCCTGTGAAAATCTTTCTTTTTATTCTCATGGTTTTGGTTCTCTTTTGTCCAATAAAAACTGTATGGATATAGATAGCTCTGTGTTACCTGTGTAGGTGTCTTTGCTTCGTTTTGAATTATGCTTTTTTTTCTCAGTAAAGTACTACATTAGATTAACAGCAGACTACGGTCCAATCCCTCCTTTATCTCTATTTCGGTCCCACTCCCCCGTACAACTCGCCTTTTTTATTCTCTTCCATAAAACGCGACGGCTATAGCAAGCGTCAGACCGCTGAGTTGCCGTGGCAACAACTTCCCACCTCCGTTCAGCCTGCGTGGGCACGTCACGTATCAGCGCGTCAACGTGCTGTCGTAAGCGGAAGCGAATGTGTGCTCCGTTGCCGCTGTGCCGCAGCCTGGAGAGAGATTTGTGCACGACACCGGGTGCGACGGGGAGGAGGAGGGGGGGGTCGAGATCGGGACTAGAGAGAGACTGTGTGAAAAGAAGGTAAAAACCCCGTAGAGACATGGCCGCGGACGGAGCCGGGCAGCTGGGGAAGCCGGTCGGTGCCTCGGACAACGATGTTGGCGCGACTACAGCAGGCGTTGCGGGGGCTGGAGGGGTGCCTGAGCCAGCGGACGAGCTGGTCCGCTCCGTGTCCCTCTACCGCCGACGGCCTCGGTTCCTGCACGGCACGGTGCTGCCGTTCTTCGGGCTGCTGTACCCGGCGTGGCTTTACCTGTGGCTCGCCGTGTACGGCGCCGCCGACTACCCGGAGGCCGGCCTCATCGCGCTCGCCGCCATCGGGATTGCGCACGTCCTCACCGTGCTGTCAGGGCACTGGTCCGTGCACGCGCACTGCTGGCTCACCTGCGCCACGGTGAGGCTGGGGTCTGTGTGCCTGCACCTTGCTGTGCGACAGTGTGTCCGTGCTGCACCTTCCCGTTTCTCTGCTGTGCCTGTACTCCATCCTTCTCTGCTACACCGTCTGCCGCTTGTGTTCACTCGCAGTGCTGTGTCTGGGCTCGACTGTCTCTGGTGTCTGTGGGCTCTGTACTGCACGTGGGTGTGTGCACTGTATTATAGTACACTGGTTCTTCTCTGCTGCACAAGTCTTTACTGTGTCCAGTGTGGGGTCCCTGCGTGTCAGTACTGTGCTGTGTGTGTCGGTG